GAAATAAATAAAAACCTTAAAAAAAAAAATTAAAAAATAAATAAATAAATAAATAGTTGTTCTGGGGCGCCGGGGTGGCTCCGATGGTTAAGCATCTGGCTCTTGATTTCGACTCAGGTCATGATCTCACAGTTAGTGGGTTTGAGCCCCCACCCCCACCCTGACGAGCTCTGGGCCTGGAACCTGCTTTGGATTCTGTGTCTCCTTCTCTCTCTCTGCCCCCCCTCTGGGCATGTTCTCTCTCTGTCTCTTTGTCTCTCTGTCTCTCTCTCAAAATTAAACATTAAAAAAATAATAATAAAGCAGCACACGTGGGTGAGCGTGCCCCTGAGTTGAGCCCCGGGGTCGAGCCCCGAGCCCCGAGCCCCGGGGGAAGGCGGGGGAACAACAGACACCAGGTGGTGCCCTGAGGGGACAAAGAGGGAAGTGAAGGAGGAGTTACTCATTTTCTCCCTTTGTATTCTTTTGTTTCCCTGGATGCAGTAAACTTTGCATCACTCTCATCGGTTTGGAAACACAATTTAATTTTTAAAACGGTATTCTTCCTTGACTTTCTGGACTTCTGTTTCTTTCAACAACACTGGCTCCTCTGGCTGGACATGGACACAAGCCGACCCAACTTACCCAAGAGGCACAGCGAGTCGAGGGCCCCTGATATTGAAAAAGGTGCATCTAATCCAACCCAGATTATATTTGTCTTTATAGCAATGGAATCACAAACTGTAATTAAAAAAAAAATTTTAAGGGGCCCACAAAGTCACAGTGGCCCTGTAACGTGACACGCGCAGGGGGCTGGTGACCGCTGAACCCGGGGTGGCCTGAGGTTCCTGCTGCCGCGCGGCGAGCGGCTCCCTCTTTCCTCTTCTTCCTCTCAGCTTTCTGGCATTTCCTTCCTTCCATTGTTCCTAGGGGTCAATCCCGTGGGGAAAATCCCGGAGCTTGGTCTCAGATGAGTCCAAAGGAAAAAAGAATTTCCCATTTGTCTGTTGGGCATGAGGGCTCTGGGGCTCGGATGCCCCGGTGTACAGCTGGGTGACTGACGTCTGAGCTCAGTTTCCCCATCTGTAAAATGATGAGGAGGAGAGCTCCCGCCCCAGAGCTCTGGAGGGCCTATAAAAGAGGTGGTCCCGGCAAAGTGCCCAGAACAGCACTCCGAGTGCCCAGTACACATTCCCTGAACAAATGAACCCTGGTCAAGATGGGGCAGGGGTCTCGGACTCCCCTTCAAGATGGGCCCGGGGGAGCAGGGAGGAGAAGAAAGAGCAATCCCCTTACTCCACAGGCTGTCATCCGTATACTTTCTGGACCCCAGGCACCCAGCCCCTACAGAGCCTTCTATGGGCCAGACAAGGCTGCGAGGACCCGCAAGGACCTGGGGAATCTGGGGGCCCCAAGCTAGGCCCCCCTGTCCAGCCACACACGGTCTCTCACACATGCTTGGGGAGGGGCACACCGGACGTACCGACACGCATACACCCAGGAACGGTCAAAGCCTAGACACAGGTGAACACGCACACAGGTTAAGGCAGTGGCATAGGTGTGCTGCAGAGAGGGACTCACAGCAGACAGATCCAGAGGCAAAGCCTGGACTCAGGTGGGCACTCGGATGCCACCTGCAGAGGCGCTCTGGCCTTACTGATAAAGGCAGACACGTACAGGTGGACAGGACAGTGACCCCCGCCCCCATCTGAGACAGGCCAGGACTCAACACAGGAGGGCACCCAGAGAGACCACAGCAGGTAGGTGCACACGAGAACATGCACACACACCGTGCACACGCACACACACAGGCACGCATACACGCACGCACCACGCAAACGGGGCACACACACCGTGCTCACACGCAGGCACACATGCACACAAACGCACACTGCGCGCACATGCATACACGCAGGGACACCGTGCACCCACAGCATGCACTCACACCGTGCGTGCACACGCAGGCACACCGTGCCACATGCACATCGCACGCAGATGTGCACATGCACACACCAGCACACACGTGCGGGCGCAGAGGCACAACGTACACACGCATACCGCACGCACAGATATGCACACACGAGTACACACACACACCGCGCGCGCACAGGCACACCGTGCAATGCACACACAAGTACACACACCATACGCGCTCGCTCGCGCGCGCACGCACACGCACCGAGAGGCGAAGCCACAGGAGGCCGCCCAGACTCATACCGACTTGCACACGGGCCAGCGGACACGCACTACAGCCACACAGACGCACCCCCTTTCCGGTCGGACACCCCCTCCCCACAGCCCTCAGACCCCTCCCGGCGCCAGCACACCCTCCCGAGGCCGCACGCCCCCTGCCCTCTCCCCACTCCGCCCGCAGTCCGCACGCCCCTCACCTGGACCCGCAGTCCCTTCCCCCGGAAGAGGGTCGGTCCCCGCTGGGGGAGCGCGGTGGGGGCCCGCCCCGCCCCCTCTCCTCCCGCCCCGCCCCGCGCGCCACCGGACTCACTCGCACAGCTCCGCCAGGACAATGACCCGCGGCGGCCGGGGCCTCCCGGCCGCACTGAGCCTGCGCAGAAGGGCGGACTACACTACCCAGAGGCCCGCGCGCCGCCGCCTCCGTCGGGCCTTGCGCTGCAGCCGAGCGGAGCCGAGCCCACCCGAGACCCGCTAGCGCCCCCGCACCTCCCGGAGGTCGCAGCAGCAGCGCGGCCAAACCGGCGGGGGCGGGGGCGGGGGCGGGGGCGGGGGCGCGAAGGGGAGACGGCGGGGGAGAGGGGTTCGGGAGCGGAACGGAAAAGAGAGGGGAGGACCTGGAGGAGGGCGAGGAAGGAGGGGAGACGCAGGGCAGGACTGGAGGGACAGGGCAGAGGGAGGAGGGCGGGGAGGAGGCGGAGGGGGGAGGGAAAAGAGGGAGGCCTGGGAAGAGGGAGGGGGAGGAGTAAGGAGAATCTGAGACGGTGGGGAGAGAAGGAAGAAGAGCGGGAGGAGGTGAGGAAAGGGGAGATCTATGAGGAGCAGAAAGGAGGGGCGCCCGGGTGGCTTAGTCTGTTAAGCGTCCGACTTTCGCTCAGGTCATGATCTCGCGGTTCGTGGGTTCGTGCCCCGCGTCGGGCTCTGTGCTGACTGCCAGCTCTGAGCCTGGAGCCTGTTTCAGTCTGTGTCTCCTTCCCTCTCTGACCCTCCCCTGCTCACGCTGTCTCTCTCTCTCTCTCCTAGAAATAAATAAAACATTAAAAAAAAAAATTAAACACCATACAGAAAGATCCAGTGCACCCTTTATTTGATTCCCCCCAACGATGACATTTTGCAACATCAGAACAAGGAAAGTGACGTGGATGTTGTCCACATACAGAAAATGCCCACCACCACTGGATTGCTTCGTGTTGCACTTTCATAACCACATCCGTTTTCCTCCAGACCGCTTCCTTCCTTAACCCCATCATCTCCTTCTCTGGAGTTTTATCCAAGTTATTATATGTGTCAACAGTTTGTTACTTTATTGCTAAATTCTATTCCACAGTATTGACATCCCATAATTTGGGTATCACATCTGGGATGTTTCCAGTTTGAGACTATTTCAGGTTTGTTTTTTTTTTTTCTTTTCATTGCAGTAAAAACACCGTGTCCAAAAACACAATTTTGGACATTAACCCCTTATCAGATATTTAGTTTGCGAATACTATCCCATTCCATAGGTTGTCCTTTCATGTCGTTTCCTCATGACAGGTTTGTGTGAACATAAATCTTCACTTCTCCTCGATAAATGCCCAGGAGTCCAGTTTCTAGGTGGAATGGTATTTGCATCTTAAGTTCTTTCTTGTTTAAACAAATTGCTACACTGTTTTCCAGAGCAGCTGCAACATTTTACATCACTACCAACAATTTACAAGGTACCCAGTTTCTCCAAATCCCTGCCAATATTTAATGTGGCCATAGTTTTTAAATTTTAGCCATTTTGGTATGGATGGATATTGCACTGAGCTATTTTTTTTTTTTGTTCTTGCTTTTACTAAGAGACTTTAGTTCCTAGAACAGTTTTATTAGGTTTACAGAAAAACTGAGCAGACAGTATTCTTCTACCCACCTACCTGCACATAATTTCCCCAATTATTAAACACCTGCATTTGTGTGGCATATGTGTTAGAATTAATAAACCTATGCTGATACTTTACTAATTAAACTCCGTCATTTACATTAAGGTTACTCTGCGCGGAACACTTGGGGTGGTTCTGGACAATGCGTAATACACATTCGCCATTATAGTCCCATACAGAATAGCTTCACTGCGTCCAAAATACTCCACCTGTTCATCCTCCTCCATCTTCAATGAGCCCCTGACAACTACTGATACTTCTTCTGTCTCCACAGTTGTGTCAAGAATGTTCCGTTAAGGTACATGAACTTGGGAGTTTCAGGCTCCTTGGATACAAGGAGCAAAACAATTCGTGTGAAGGCCACACGTGGAGCAGGCAGTTTTTCCTGCTGTGATCTAGAAATGTTGATCTCCCAAACTTATCACATGGCTCCAGCGTCACCTCCAGACCCACTTCCTGTAAAGGTCAAGGTCAGTCCATCTGGGGTAAATTACCTGCAACATTTCTCAGTTGTTGCCCCAACTTCTCTTTAGTAGCCCTGGTGTCTCCTCCTCTTCTTAGAAGGGTCCCAGGCCTATCAGAGTAAGGCCCCACCCTGTCTTATCATTTAATCCTGATTTCCTCCTAAAAAGTCCTATCTCCAAATACAGTCCCACTGGGGCTTAGAGTTTCAACCTATGTATTCAGGGGGACACAATTCATTCCGTAACAACCACTCCATGACAAAATATGGAATCTAACCAGCATCCCACTTTAGCAAACCGTAAAAAGAGTCTCTCAGTTTGATTGAGCGATCTTAACCCTAGGACTTCAAATAGTCGAAGACCACTTTCAACAATATCATACAAAGACCCTTAGTTGAAATTTCTTGCCTTGATGCTAGAAGTTCAAGATCTGAATTTTACATTACCCAAAGCCATGAGATACCAGCATCACATACACTCTTTGGACTTAGCATTGCTCTTCTTTAAAATGCCATTATCCAGGACCCCAGCCCCTATTCATCTCAGGTGACTATAAATAATTCACTTGGGTGCTTACTCAGTGCACACCATGAGCTCGCACTTTCTTAGGTTAGAAAAGAAACGGAAGTCTTACTTGCCCCATCTCACCCAAAACCAATCCCTGGCACCTCAAACCTTCCAAAGATTCTACAGCCTATTTAGTACCCGATCTTCACACCAAACTCTGTATTGGCTGTTTTTTAACTGCAAGTAAATGAGCAATAGAAGTCAAAAATGAAGAACAGCGGGGCGTTTGGGGAATTACAGCCTTTGGAAGCACCATGACTAAAGCGATCCTATGACCCAGCCAGGACGACGCCAGCGTCACCCCTTCAGGGCACTGCCACTTAAGGACACAGACCCAACTGCCCTTCAAACTCCTGAGAGACACTGATCAGTCAGGACCACTGAAGCCATTACGGAATGGTACGGTCAGCTGCTCGCAGGAAAAGAAGACATGGTGCAGTGAGGAGCAGGAAGGAAAACTGGGCGCAGTAAAACAGAAAGATAGGTATTTTTATATTTCATTTTTGATATTACAGTTATGACTTTATACTAGAATACAGGTCTGAAATTCTTTTTCATTAGGTATAACTAATCTTCCTATGATCATATACATTTACATTCCTTTTTTTCAACAGCTGCATAAAATTCTACTGGATGAATACACTATAATTAACTTATCCATTGACCCAAGACCCTCATAGTTTCTAATAGAGTTCACCATTAAAAATTTGTTTTGCCATTATACAGTTACCTGCCTTTGTACACTTGGGTTTCTGAGGAATCATGGTTCAAATGGTACATGCGTACGCCAATTTATATAACTGACAATGGAATTGTCTTGTTTTGACACATTCACTAGACATAATCACTCTTCTAGGACTTAACATCAACCTACTGGGGAAAGAAGTATATACAACATCACTTTATTTTGCATTTCCTTGATTAGTAGGGATACTGGCTCATATCCATTAGCTGTTTTCTCATCTTCTTTGAACTCGCCATTACCTTTGCCCATTTTTCTACTGAATTGCAGACGTTACTATTATTGATTTGTAAGAATGCTTTGAATATCAGGATTATCCTTTGTTATGTGTGTTTGCAAACATTTTCTTTCAATCTTAAATCTGTCTGTTAACTGTTATCTGTCTGATCTTTTCCATACATACATGTTAATGTCACTCCTGAGTTCTGTATACTACCTCAGGTCTGCCTCACAGTTACAGAAATACTGTTTCTCTTGTACTTTAATATTGTACATTTAGACCTTTGACCCTTCAGAGCTTCATTAGTGTACAAGGTGTAGACCTTTGTCTTTCCGGGGAGTGAAGTGTCCCAACACCATCTGATCAACCCATCTCACCCCCAGTGCAATGAAAATTCCTTTTTATCATACATAAGGTGAGTCTAACAAGACCACCCACCCCCTAGCCTCTATACCAAAGTAAGGGAGCCCCAAAGCCCCATTTTCTAGCACTCGTGTCCTCTGGATAAGGGCTCCCCTCAGATGGCTTTCTATGCTGCCACAGACAGCAGTCGAGAGGGAACCCGAAAGCACTAGGTGCTCCAAGAGAAGCCCTCTGGAGGTGGGAGTATCTGTTTTTAGGCAAAGAAATGTAATGGTTGCTGACACCCAACATACGAAGTCACTGAATTTACACTTTAAATGGGTGAATCGTACGTTATGTGAATTACAGCTCAATAAGGCTGTTACCAGAATAAAGCCAAACCAAAACAAAAGCTCTCCCCCCGCCCGGACTCACCATTGATAGAGAGTAAACAGAACTTTCACTACCCTTGTTAAACCGTCCGTTCTCTCTTCCTGCAGCACTGAGAGTGTAATTATCTACTTTGGGACTAAAATGACTATTCTCAGTATGTCTGTTGTGTCGGACGGATCTCCCTTGTCCCCTGCTTCTAACGCCCGTATGTTTTGGGAATAGGCATTCCTTCCCATCCCTCCCCAGCTCCCTCTTTCCATGATTTCTCTCTCTTCGTAGTACATATTACATACTTATAGAATATACAGTGTAACCTTGGTTTGCGAGCATAATCCATTCCAGAAACATGCTTGTAATCCAAAGCACTTGTACATCAAAGCGATTTTCCCACAATAAAAGAAACTCAGATGAGTCGTTCCACAACCCAAAAATATTTATATAAAAATGAATACAATACTGTAGTATTAAGTAAAATAGAAAATATAAAGAAAAAGAAAAAAATTAACCTCCAGTTACCCTTGAAAACCCTTGGGGCTGGTGGGAGGAAAACGAGACAGGAAGGTTATTGTGCAGGACTTTCACTGTCACTGACAGATGTTGCCTATGGTACAGGATTAATATACTCTTGTCATACACTGTATTTAATGTAACTGGCAATAAGGCAGGAGATGAAAGGGTCTAGATTTGCAGGAAGCCTAACCTAGAATGAAGCAAAGCATTGCTAAGCTCACATCTGTATGGAGAAGCAAAGGACTGTCTATAGGTGCTTTGAAGTGACAAAAATACACTAGTGCCAGTGGTGGGCCCCTTCCAATATTGTGAAAAATCACTGATTTCTGCCAAACACCTCAGCCTGAAAGTGAGCATCTGAGTATGGGAGACAATCACCCACAACCCCTCAGCGAGCGAGCGAGAGAGGGAAAAACCGCTGGCTCCGTTGCGATCATGTCATTTGGCATCACGCACTACTCGTACTGTAAGATATCGCTCGTTCAAGTTAAAATTTATTAGAAATATCTGTTCGTCTTACGGGAACACTCACAGAACAAGTTACTCGCAATCCAAAATTTAACTGCAACTTTGTCTTCTCCCACTAGATCTGGAAGGCCAAAAACTTTTTTGCATTCTGCAGTGTCCCCAGCACCTAAAACGGGGCTTGGCACGCTGGCAAATGCTCATTTAATGTTAACTGAATGAGTACATTCCTTAGCACACCACAATCCTATAAATGGTCAGAATCAGCTTGTCAACTTCAAAATATATTGGGATTTTTACTGGAATATCAGTTAATGGGTATGTTTAATGTGGGGAGAAATATCTTTGCCAGACTCGTTCTATGCAGACATGTCTAGCTTCCATTTATTCTACCTTTTAAAATTTAAAAAGTTTTAATATCTACATTCATAAGCTTATTGTAGCATGTTTTTGTTTTGAGATCAGTCTTAGTCTCAGAATAAGATGGGCAGCTTTAGCGTATTTATTTTATGCTCTAGAAGAATTTAAATATCACAAGAACTGTCTGTGGTACTTTTCTACAGGTCAAAGTGTTATACTACCGGGGCGCCTGGGTGGCTCAGTCCGTGGAGTCCAACTTCACCTCAGGTCATGATCTCGAGGTTTGTGGATCTGAGCCCCACATCAGACTCTGACTGCTCAAAGCCTGAAGCCTGTGATGGATTCTGTGTCTCCTCTCTCTGCACCTTCCCTGTGTCTGTCTCTCTAAAAATAAACATTAAAAAAAAATGAAAAATGAAAACAACCCCAAAGTGTTAAACTACTTTTTCCACTGTATTCCATGGCTATTAATCTATTTGAGTTTTCTAGCCTGCTCACTTTAGCTTCTTTTCAGTATCTGCCTAGTCCTACCTTCTACCAAATGCTCTTGTTCTGATTGGCCTACTCTCACTTCTAGGCGCCAGGCCAGGTGCGCGTTCCTCATCAGCAATGCTCCGAGTCCTTGTATTTATTCAGAGAGTGGCGAGCTGCCATGTTACCTCATCCATCACAGAGCCTTCCAATTCTGAATGTGTTCATTTTCCTACCTGCTGGGAGCATGAAGAGTGCTACGTCTGCTCTAAAGCCCATAGATTTCTTAGTCTTTGCCTACTGGATTTTACTTAGAGCTGAAGATAACAGCAAGGGATCCTTTACCTTAATGGCACTAATTATATGTCAAGGATTGTGTGCTAAGCCCCTAAATGGTATCTAACGTATTCTTAAAAACAAATGCCATAAGTGGGAAAATAACATGAATACTGATTTTTATTTTTAAAAGATGAAGCTGGCTACAGTGTTAAAAATGCATTTGAGGGGAGCTAGAGGGAAAATGGTTGTAACCCTTGTAAAAATCAAAATGAGATGGTTACAGCTTGGACTACAATAATGGGACATACTGGAAAATGGCGGACGGATTCTAGAGGCGTTCAGAAGATCAGATCTAGAGGACTTGGTGGTATGGGGGTGAGGGGGAGTGGGCAGCTGAGGATGATTCTCCAGCATGAACTCGCTGATGATGAGCCAGATGCACACTCTGCCTGAAGGCTTTCCCACAGTTCCTACACTCATAGGGCCTCCCCCCAGTATGAATTCTCTTATGGAGCTTCAGATGGGCAATCTGGCTGAAGGCTTTGCTACATTCTTTACACTCATAAGGCTTTTCTCCTGTATGAATCCTCTGATGTCGAGTAAGGGATTTACGGTGGCTAAAGGCTTTCCCACAAACGTTACATCCATAAGGCTTCTCGCCTGTATGACACCTCTGGTGACAAATCAGGGATGCCTTCTGTCTGAATGCCTTTCCACATTCAAGACATTCATATGGTCTTTTGCCAGTGTGGAGTCTCTGATGTTGAACAAAGTGTGCGATTTGACTGAAAGCCTTACCACATTCCTTACATTCATAAGGTTTCTTTCTAGTGTGTATTTTCTGATGTTGCGCAAGGTGCGCATTCTGGCTGCAAGTTTTGCTGCACTCCTTACATTCTTAAGGTTTCTCTCCAGTATGAATTCTCTGATGATGAGCGAGGGGTGTGCTCCGCCGAAAAGCCTTCCCACATTCCTTACACTTGTAGGGTTTTTCTCCAGTATGAACTCTCTGATGCACAGTAAGCGAACCCCGATGGGTAAAGGCTTTCTCACAGATACTGCACTCATAAGGTTTTTCTCCTGTATGAATTCTCTGATGGACAGTCAGGGAAGAGCCACGGCTAAAAGCCTTCCCACACACATTACATCTGTAAGGTCTCTCTCCAGTATGAATTCTCTTATGCTGAATAAGTCCTGTGTGATCAGTGAAAGCCTTCCCACAATAAATACAATCAAATGGTTTCTCTCCAGTGTGATAATACCTCCGATGACGTATCAGACAAACATTCTGCCTGAAAGCTTTCCCACAGTCAATACATTCGTACGGTCTTTTTCCAGTGTGAATCCTTCGATGATGAGCTAGGGATGAACAATCACTAAAGGTCTTCCCACATTCAACACATTCATAGGGTCTCTCTCCAGTATGAACTCTCCGGTGTCGAAAGAGATGTGCAAGCCGGCTGAAGGCTTTATTGCACTGCTTACACTGGTAAGGCTTCTCTCCAGTATGAACTCTCCGGTGTTGAATAAGACAAGCATTCTGGCTGAAGGCTTTCCCACATTCCGTACATTCAAAGGGTTTTTCTCCCGTGTGTATCCTCTGGTGTTTAGCAAGCTGGGCACTCTGGCTGAAGGCTTTCCCACAGTCAATACATTCATAGGGTTTCTCTCCGGTGTGAATTCTCTGATGAAGGGTAAGGGCTGAGATTTTGCTGAAAGTTTTCTCACAGTCATTACATTTCAAAAGTTTCTTTTCTCCATAGGCTTGCTTATGTTTTCTGACAAATGAATGGGTTTTTAAACTTTTCTTATCTGTGTCAAAATTATGTATTCTCTCTTCTATGGGAAATACCTGCTCTAGACAAGATAATCTATTCAGATGGAAAAGTGTTCCAGATTCGTTAATGTCGACTCTTTCCTCAATAAGGGTACCGATATGAGTGACTGTCTCTTGACTAACATGTGTCTTCTGACTTACCAGCTCCTTCTTAAACAGGTTTTCACAGTTCAAGTTTTCCCCTGCTGTGGAACAGGTAAGGTCACAGCTTGGAAGTCTTTCCACTATCACTGCCTGAGATAACTTCTCTTCATAAATATCTTGGTTTGGAGATAATTCCTTGGTCATCTCAACATACTCCAAATCTGAAAGATATTGAGAAAGCAAATGTCTCCTTTACTTAATGCTAGAAGAATTGCAACTTTGAAAGTGAAACCATGTGAATCAGTTACTGAAGACCACAGAGGTCTTTGACAATCTTCTATAAAGTCAGGCAATGCAGCCATCCTTGCATTTCGGGAATATACCCTCCCTTGCTCTGGTGTATTATTTCAATATGACAGATTTTGCACCAATATTCATTAACTGAGATGTGTATGATCCTTTTTTGATGCTATTTTGGTAAGATTTTGGCATTAATGTTATGTTGTCTTCATAAACAAAATTTTCTAAATTTCTCTTTTTATTCTGTCACGTTGCCTTTTAAACAATGTTGATATTTTTTTCTTACAGGTTTTACAGAATTTATTTGTGAATTCTTGGAGGAGGCAGTTCTGAGATAACTGTCTAAATTTCTTCAATGGTAACCAGTGTACTTAGATTTTCTATCTCCTCCGGTAGTTATTACTTATTTTTTATATATTTGCTTATTCACTTATTTATTTGAGAGAGCAAGCAAGTGAGAGAGAGAGAGAGAGGGAAAAGGAGGGGGGAGGGAGAGAGCGAATCCTAAGCAGTCTACACGTTCAGCACAGAGCCCAACGCGGGGCTGGGCCCCACGACCTTGGGTTCATGACCTGAGCTGTAATCAAGAGTCAGACGTTCAACCAACTGAGCCACCCAGTGCCCCAGTTTTAGTAATTTATATTCTCCTAAAATATTACCCATTTCATCTAGGATTTCAAATTATTTACAAAGAGTTGAGGAAAACAGATTCATAGGATTCTTTTAAGTACTTACGCATCATTGGTTACTATTATATCTTTTCTTGTTTTGTTTATATATTTGACAGTTTATATATTTTATCAGCTTTTTTTTTTTAGTCGGCTCCACGCCCAGTGCAGAGCTCAATGTGGGGCTTGAGCCCATAACCCTGATATCAAGACCCAGGCAGAGATCAAGAGTTGGATGCTTGACTGACTGAGCCACCCAGGTGTCCCTAATTTATTGGTTTTCTAAAGAAGCACCTATTTGATTTATTTTCATTAAACTTTACTACTTTCTAGTTCCTTTATTCCTACTTTTATCTCTAGCAGTATAAATCACTATAGCTAACTTATTTTAGTCTTCCTTAGACTCACTTTGTTCTTTTTCTACTATCTTGAATTGGATACTTACTGATTTCTTATTACTTTATTTCTTATTTATTAACATACATCACTAGGACCATAAGTGACCCACCAACAATCCTCTTCTTGAAACTACAAGAGCTCAAAGCAGGAAGAGGCTACACTACAAGATACAGAATGAAATGCAACCATCTCGCTCAAGGCTGATTCCCCTGAGATATATAATCTATAAACTCATATCTACCCTCCATGCCAGAAAAGCAGCTTTCAAGCAAGGCAATGAAAAATAAAATATAAAATCTGGACCAAGAATCCCACTGACCATAACAGAAGTGGGGAGGTGATGGACGAAGAGAAAGGCGGCAATAGCAGTTAGTTAATTTATTCATCTCTTGTAGGAGTATCAAACAATGAGGCTTAGAATCTCAAATGGATGAATCTTAAAATAAAGATTTAAGGGGCACCTGGGTGGCTCAGTCAGTTTAAGTGTCTGACTCTTGATTTCAGCTCAGGTCATGATCTCAGTTTGTGGGATCGAGCCCCACATCAGGCTCTGCACTGACAGCATGGAGCCTGCTTACGATTCTCTCTGTCCCTCCCTCTCTGCTCCTCCCCATTCACATGCATGCACGCTCTCTCTTTCAAAAAATAAGCAAATAAATGTTAAAATACAGATTTAAAAATACATAAAGACATAAAACTAACACTTGTAGGACTAAAAACCTTTCTAATTCAATGGGCTGGAGAGTATGAAGGGGGGGAAAACATATACACAAACAACAAAGGAAAAATAAGTAACAGAACAGAAAACCCCAAAGACAAAATAATTAAAAGCGGAGGGAAGAACATAACAATAATTGTTAATCTGAGAAGCTCGTATTTTGAAAAAAGGAAATATTTAAACCAGTTCAAAAAACTAAAACCATATTTGTCTAAAGAATTCAGGAATGCTGAGCACTGGGGATGGCTGTGACACACTATGGTACTTGAGAACTAGGTAAACATCATGCAACAGAACAGAGTTAACAAACAGACTGTAGTTTATTTGCAAGAAATCAGTACAGATGAAAGTGTAGCAGATGAGAGAAGATCCATTTGAAATATGGTGTCAGGACTGAAAGTTTCAACTCGAGAGGGATTTTGAGAGGTGTTGCCAACGAGTACCAGAGAAGAAACATCTTGCGAGAGTTTCCCCAGCTCTCGCTGCCTGCACTTACCTGGGCAGAGGGCCCGTGTCACTTCTCCCGTCTCCGCCCTGGGACCTTCCCCTTGCTCCAATAAGGAGATCACATCTGGTTTAGAAATGCAAAGACCTGCATATAAGAAAAAAGATAGGAAAAGTTGCTGTTTTGTGGACAGTGCAGAGCTGTGACAAAACCAAGAGGTACTGAGAGAAAAGGGACACGGTAGGAAAATGCTGATAAAGGCATGAAAGACTGAGGTGGAGAGACTCCAGTGGGGGAGGCGGAACGAGGAAGACACTCTCACCCACTGAAACCAGGTTCCTGTAGTTCTCCAACATCACATTCTTATACAAAGTCCTTTGAGCAAGATTCAGCCCTTCCCATTCATCTTGGGAGAAATCTATGGCCACATCCGTGAAAGTCACTGAATCCTGAAATGACACAAATATTACCTTGCTCAGTGTTCATGCCATTACTTAGCCAGCTCTAGGCATAAAGGGTTACCCCTGGATGGTTAAATCATCCAGATTGTATGGTCGGCTACTGGATAAGTTTTTCTGCCTACTTATATAGTATGTATTAGGAAAGCGGAAAAAATAGGAGAGACATTCTCTGTTCTTTGAGCATTTACAATTTTATGGTGGGGAGAAGACATTCTATATGAAAATATGTTGACTGCATTTAAGACAGAACGTCAAATACTAAATTGTAGTTGACCCTTGAACAACACAGGTCTAGTTACGTGTGAACTCACATATGAATTTTTTTCAATAAACAAGTACAGTATTGTAAGTATATTTTCTCTTCCATGTCTTTCTTAATTTCTTTCCTCTAACACCCTTTATTGTAAGAATATAACATATAATACATATACAAAGTATGTGTTAATCAACTGGTTATATTATCAGTAAGGCTTCTGGTTAACAGTAGGCTATTAGTAGTTCTGTTTGGGGGGAGTAAAAAGTTACATGTGAATTTTCAACTGTAGGGGGATCAGAGCCCCCAATCCCATTTTGTCCAAAGGTCAACTGTATTTTTTCACGGTAGGAGGGAGCTAGATCACTCTTCTACGTGGAGAAATTAAAGAGTTCTGACGCTGGTGAAGGAAGGTTTCAAGGAAGGATGTTGATCTGATGAATGATTTCAAACTCCATAATATATTCTAAGAAATCCTAGTGCTCTGAGATGTTAAGAGGGTGTCTAAAACAAAAGAATAAAAATGCCTAACAAGATTTTTTTCCTTTTGACATAAAAATATATTTGCCTTAGGGGAACACATTTGGAAAGTTGGTTTTTGATAATCTGCAGAGGTACCAAGAGAGATCACATGAGCTGAGCACAACCTACTTTGTTACGTGGGCTGAATTTCCTAACCAACCAGCAAGAGACACCGGTCATCCATTCTGTGGTTGCTGGCAGATTTTCCATTTCTTACTCTGTGATTTCACTTGTATCAACATCTACAAATGAGTTCTGAATAACTACCAGTTGTGAATAAAACCAGAGAAAAAGGTCAGATTATTCCAAAGAATTCAGACTCTGGCACGGACTAGCGAGGGGATCTTGGCCAAGTTAATTAACTGCATATGCCTCAGTTTCTCCACCTGAGAAATGGGAATAATTTGAGTACCTATCTCACAGCTGCACTGTGAGAATTAAATGAAGTAACAGTCACAGTACCTGGCTAAGTGCTCAAGAATTGTTACCTCTGATAATGATAAAGGAGGAACAGAAGAGGAGGAGGCAGCCCAGAACAGGTGAAAACATTTGGTTTAATACATCAACAAAAGTTTTCCTTTTATTTTATCTAATTGCAATATATTATAGTAGTTAAGAACTTGTTCTCTGAAGCCAGACCGCCTATGTTCAAATCCTGTTCTGTTCAGTAAACTGAAAATGTTAGTTTTGTTTTTAACCTTTGAAGATTTTTTAAAAATGTTTTGTTTATTTCTGAGAGAGAGAAACAGTGTGAGCAGGGGAGGGTCAGAGAGAGACGGAGACACAGAATCTGAAGCAGGCTCCAGGCTCTGAGCTGTTAGCACAGAGCCCAACGCAGGGCTCAAACTCACAAATCGTGAGATCATGACCTAAGCCAAAGTCATACGCTTAACTGACTGAGCCACCCAGGCGCCCCAAACCTTTGAAGATATTTTAAATAACTCAGGGCAGTCTATTGTATTTACACATACATATTTACCATTTCTGTTGACTTTATTCATTCCTGATGTCCCAGCCCCCTTCTGGTATAATTTCTATCTGAACAACTTCCTGTTGCAGCTCTCTGAGAAATCCATCAGTGAATTTCTTTAGTTTTTCTCCATATGAGACGCTCTTCGCCTTTGACACTGAAGACTTTTTTTGCTGGACATATAATGCTGAGTTAACAGTTCTTTCCTTTGAGCTCTGTTTAAAAGTTGCTCTACTGGGGCGCCTGGGTGGCTTAGTCGGTTAAGCGTCCTACTTTTGCTTAGGTCATGACCTCGCGGTTCGTGGGTTCGAGCCCTGCGTCGGGCTCTGTGCTGACTGCCAGCTCAGAGCCTGGAGCCAATTTCAGAGTCTGTGACTCCCTCTCTCTCTGACCCTCCCCTGCTCACGCTCTCCCTCCCCCTCTCCTAGAAATAAATAAAAAATATTTAAAAAAAATAAAAGTTGCTCTACTTCCGCCTAAGTGTCCATCAACTGACAAATGGATCAAGAAGATGTGGTTTATCTATACGGTGGAATACTACATGGCAATGAGAAAGAATGAAATCTGGCCATGTGTAGCAACATGGATGGGCCTTGAGGGTGTTATGTTGAGCGAAATAAGTCAGGCAGAGAAGGACAGATACCATATGTTTGCACGTATAGGAGGATTAGGAGGAACTTAACGGAGGATCATGGGGGAGAAGGGGGGAAATGGTGGGGGAGAGGGAGAGGCAAACCATGAGAGACTCGAATGCTGAGAACAAACTGAGGACTCATGGGTGTAGGGGGGAGGGGGAAGATGGGCACGGAGGGGGGCACTTGTGGGGATGAGCACTGGGTGTTATTTGGAAAACAACTTGACAATAAACTGTAAATAAATAAATAAAATAAAACATATACTTGATTTTTAAAAAGTTGCTCTACTTCCTTCTGATTTCCATGGTTTCTTTCTTTTTTTTTTTTTTAATGTTTTTTATTTATTTCTAGGAGAGAGAGAGAGCGTGAGCAGGGGAGGGTCAGAGAGAGAGGGAGTCACAGACTGAAACAGGCTCCAGGCTCCGAGCTGGCAGTCAGCACAGAGCCCGACGCGGGGCTCGGACTCACGAACCGCGAGTTCATGACCTAAGCGAAAGTCAGATGCTTAACCGACTAAGCCACCCAGGCGCCCCTGATTTCCATGGTTTCTGACGGAACACCCACAGAACTGAGATTGCTGCTGCCCTATGTTAAGCATCATCCTTCTCTGGCTGCCTTCAAGGTGCCCCTCGTCTGTGGTTTCTAGCAGTTTGAGGACACAGCCGCCAGACAGAAGGACTCTGAGTTCTCACACTGGAGTTTGCTGAGCTTTCTGGAGCCACAGCTTTATGTCTTTCAATAAAGTTGGGAATTTTTCAGCTGTTATTTTTTCAAATATTTTTTCTATACATTCTCTTTACTGGGGCTTTGATGACACAAATGTTAAACGTTCTGGTGCTGTTCCACAGGGCCCTGAGGCTCTGTTCAAGCTTGTATCTACTGTTCAGATTAGTTTCATTGTACCTTCAAGGTCACTAACCCTTCCCACTGCCTCCCCATTGTGCCTCTAAGCCCATCCAGTGAGGTTATTCTGGTAATTATATTTTTCATTTCTTGTTGATAGCTTGTATTTCTTTGCTGAGACTTTCCATTTGCTTCAAGAGAGTTCACTTGTGGAGCATTATTGTAACAGCTGCTTTAAAATCTTTATCAGATGATTCCAACATCTAGGTCACATCAATGCCACCATCTGGTGAGGATCTTCTGCCCTGTGAACTGAAATTTTCCTAGTTTTTCATCAGCTGAGTAACTTCAGATGGTATCCTGGACATTCTGAATGCTGTGAGACTTCACGTCTTGTTTATATTATATGGAAAATGTGGATATTTTGTTCCAGTGCCATTTCCAGAGGCTGTGAAGTGATAGCCACCTCTGTCCCACACGTGTCCGGCTTGGTGGCCAGCGGTCTATCCCGCAGTTCACTTCTCGTTGACTGGGGGAGGCTCATCAGGGCCAGGCAGACGCCTGGGCAGGCTAGGGTGAGCCCAGGAGTTCAGAAACAGCTTTGTGTGGTTGATTCCCAAAGCTGCCCCTTCTCTGGGGTTCCTCCGGCGGCTCCTACTTCCCGAGGTTCCCCTTTGCAGTCCTCCGGCCAGATAACTGGGGCTTATTCATTCCACTTGACTGTGCAGCTCCCCTGACTGTACCCACCCCTGGAGCCAAGCAGGGAGAGAACAGAAGCAGGAAAACAAAGCAGTAAGACTTTGCTGCACCCTCTGGGGGACACAGCTTCTCCACTCAGAACATTTCTCCTCAGGGCTTCAGACTTCCATAGACCCCACTGCTACTGTCTCAGGACACAAGACAACAGAGAACCCCCTTTTTTTTTTTAAGATAGATTTCCACCCACTCTTTTTGAGTATTAGATCCCCTTCCTACTTCTTAAGCCTGAACTAGGTTTCTCCTGCAGTTCTTTTTATCCACGCCAAACCCCTTCTGGGTTTTGTGCTTGTTGAATCCATGCTAGGAGATATTGGGAGGGGAACAAAAAAGGTAAACACACTGCATTTCAGGTTTCTTCCCCCATCAGCCTGCTGTTTATAGACCTCAAGTGGCTGTTCCATGCCTGCTGTTCTGGTTCTGCAGCAGCTTCCGGTGGGAAAGACAGGGCCACTGTGCTCAGTCCATCTTAACCGGAACAAGGACTTTCCCAAATTCAGTGTAAATTATTGTTAGTTTTAAAATTAATATTCCAGAGGCGCCTGGGTGGCTTAGTCAGTTAAGCGTCCGACTTTCGCTCAGGTCATGATCTCGCGGTTCGTGGGTTCAAGCCCCGCGTCGGGCTCTGTGCTGACTGCCAGCTCAGAGCCTGGAGCCTGCTTCAGATTCTGTGTCTCCCTCTCTCTCCCCTGCTCACATTCTTATCTCTTTCTCTCTCAAAAATAAACATTAAAAAAAAAAAATAACGTTTACTAATCAAATTTTATAATTTCTTATACTTTGCGGATCACCCTCATTTAGCAGTCCGCTTTAATCCGAACATGAATTATAGTCCTTAATTCTATTATTGGTGATAAATATATATATTTTTTAACTTTTTTTTAAATGTTTTATTTATTTCTAGGAGAGAGAGACAGCGTGAGCAGGGAAGGGTCAGAGAGAGAGGGAGTCACAGACTGAAACAGGCTCCAGGCTCCGAGCTGGCAGTCAGCACAGAGCCCGACGCGGGGCTCGAACCCACATACCGCGAGATCATGACCTAAGCGAAAGTCCGACGCTTAACCGACTAAGCCACCCGGGCGCCCCTATATTTTTTAATTTTTAAACATCTGACTCTGAAGCAGGCTCCAGGCTCTGAGCTGTCAGCACAGAGCCTGATGCAGGGCTTGAACTCACGAACCGTGAGATCACGACCTGAGCTGAAGTCAGAAGCTTAACCAACTGAGCCACCCAGGCGCCCCTAGTGGTCATAAAAATACTCTGAAGTAAAGTTTCAGAAAGTCTAATCCGTAAGAAATGAAAAATTGGGAATTTAGTCTGAGAACATGATCAGTGATGATGGCAAAAGATGGCCACTGCAATAATCCCTATTAAATAGTAAAACAGTGGCAACGCTTTAGCTATGGAACAAGGGGCTGATTAAATAGATTATGGTAGTTATCCTAGAAAAAAAGGATATAGAACATTCCCTGGCATTTTAAGATGTTCCTGGCTCCAAGTCAAGCAGGGAGAGGAAACCTTCACAGCCTCCAGCCCAAATCACCTGTGCCTGCAGATCTCCCCTTCTTTCAAGGTGCAACTCAGGAATCACCCCTCCTCCACCTCCTCACTCCAACAGGGAGTCTGACTGTGTAGGCTTTATTCCATACCAGGACTGTCACCAATGAGGCACAAAGGAGGTAAAAATAAAGTAGATTTCGTCCTGCTAGAGTGCGGCCTGTCCCAGAGCTTCACAGGTCCAGAGGAAAGGACACATTTTTCTAATCCACCCAAAGGTATTCACATGGACCACAAGTGGCCCTTGCCCACTACTCCACAGCCAGTCTACTCCACACCTACAACACTGACCGCACTGCGTAAATAAACGTTTGCTGCCTTTTCAGGTCTCCAACAGATCGTAAACCAGGATGGGTACTTACGGACTATGCAGATCATGGTTCTCAAACTTCCTCTAAGGACTGTGTTTCTGAGTTGTCAGATGCTTATGAAAAAACTGAGCACAGGCAAGGGCTCAGAGAGGGTCATTTCTTGGAGGAAGACTAAATAGCTACAGGAAGAAGAGGAAGCTCGGCGAGGGCGCTGGGCTGAGTCTGTCTCTGAGGCCCCATCACTCATCACAGAGGGAGAAACTGGAACCAGGCCTCGGGGCGGAACACTTAAGCAGAGAATTCTCAGTAGGAAACGAAGGTTCTCAAGTCCCGGAAAGCAAGACGGTATTTTAAGAAGGAAAGCGGGAAGACCAACTCACCAGGAGCATGGCTTTAAGAAGTTCAACTCCCATCTCCTCTTCCTCTTCCTGGCTCCTCATGAGAAGCGCTTTACCCTGAAAAGGCAGAGCTGGCAGAGGAGAAAGGAGCGGTGAGAGGCTGAGCGGCTGGAGTCACTCAGCCTAGAAACGCTCCCCTCCCTTCAGCTCCCTCTGTTGCCCCACCGCCACGACCACATCCCCTCCCCACTGTCAGCTCAGTAGGAGACCAACTCTGCTCTGGGTTTTCAGGGGTCTCAAAGCCAGCCGTTCATTAACAACTGAGACGTCCCAGGCTTGCTGCCTACATTAATGCTGATTGAACCTTCACAGACTTATTTGCTCAAGCAGACACCTGTGCAACTGGCCAGTCAGGGTCGGTGCAGGCTCCACAGGACTTGGAAAAAGCCACCTTCCCCAGAGAGAAGTATTGCCTCTGTTACGACAACGGGTGCAGCTGGCTTCCAGATAACCGGGCCAAATAAATCGAGAGAGCCATGCTGCTTTGTGACAAACTATGTCTCTTCTGAGCCAAGTTCCTTCCATCAGAAAGAGGATTCAAGTCCCTGACTTAATTCTGGCTTCCTCTAAACTCCAGTTTTCTCAAGGGTCTATTAAAATGACAGTAAGAGGGGCGCCTGGGTGGCTCAGGTGGTTAAGCGTCCGACTCTTGGTTTCGGCTCAGGTCATAATCTCAGTTTATAAGTTCGAGCCCCCCCGTCGGGCTCTGTGCTAGAAGTGCACAGCCTGCTTGCGATTTCTCTTGCCCCTCTCTCTGCCCCTCCACAGCTCTCTCGCTCTCTCTAAAAAAATAAACATTTTTTAAAAATGACAGTAAGAATGAATGCTGGGAGCCTCACTGGATGACAGTCACAGTGAGGAAATGGCAGCGTTTGCACAGCTCCTGCCGTGAGAAACGAAAACTGGGATCTCCTTCTGCTACTACTGGCTCATGCTGGAAATGAGGCTGCTGGTATTGACCAGGCCTCACAATATTCCAGGTCAGACCGATATTCCCCACACAGATTGCTCGTAAGGAAAGGCATGTCCCTGCCTTTTCCAAAGAGACTTCAGATGAAAAACATTGTGGGGCACCTGGGTGGCTTAGTCGGTTAAGCGTCCGACTTTCGCTTGGGTCATGATCTCACGGTTCGTGGGTTCGAGCCCCGCGTCGGGCTCTGTGCTGACTGCCTGCTCGGAGCCTGGAGCCTGTTTCAGTTTTTGTGACTCCCTCTCTCTCTGACCCTCCCCTGCTCACGCTGTCTCTCTCTCTCTGTCTCTCCTAGAAGTGAATAAAACATTAAAAAAAAAAAAAAAAAAGAAAAACATTGTGGATGATTGTTAAAAGGCTCTTCCTAAGGGCCTTGGAGATCCAAGACTTACATAATAAGGGGGGGGGGGGGCTCGAGTCTGGCCCTGAGGCAAAGAGCCTAATTTAGAGTTAAGGGCAGATATCCACCCCCAACCCAATTGTTTCTGCTTGGAGCATTTTCTGGCCTTGTATATGCTGATTACTCCCTGAGAAGGAACCTATTGAGGAACTTCTTCTTTTGTGATTATGGGAGCACAGGTGTTTCCAGAAAGACCTGTTTGACCCCTGCTCACAAAGAAGTAACTTCACCCTTTTTATGCTAAAACTTTAGCCTGTATGCTAAAGACGCCTTCCTTCCCCATAGGATAAGCATCTAAATCCCCTACCTCAATCACCATTGATAAAGGTTATGCAGGAGTCTTCTACAAATCTATGTTCTGTGAAATTTTTACATATCAGAGAAGTTTGTTATCAGAAATCATTGTCTAAGGCAAATGCCACTTCTGTGCCATCCCTCAAGCACTTAATGATAAAATAAAGTTGCGCCCCAGTCACAGCGGAGACGCCTGCCTGGCGACCAGATAGACTCTTGGGCCTCTCTCCCCCCTCCCTCGCCGACACCGTCCATCCTTCAGGGACCCCGGCCGGAGCCGGCCTCCGGCAAATGAACTCCTACTGAGCACTTCCTACGTGGCGGGACCCACGAGTGCTTCGTAGGCATGAGCTCAGTTACCCCCGGTAAGAGTCCAGTGAGGTGCCAGCCCTCCTCCCCGGGTTACTTATGAGAAACTGGGTCAAAAGTCTGAGAAACAAAACTTCGCCTGGTGGCAGTTTTGGGGATGTCAACCCTTGCAATATTTATCCGTCTGAGAGTCACTTCACCCGTCCCCGTGGTGAAGGATACGGACCTCGCGTCGAGGGGCGACACGAGTCAGTCCCGGTCTGATCCCGGCTCCTCCACGCACCAGCGATTACTCGGCCTCCGTCTGCTTTAGTGGCCTCATCTGTGAAAGAGATGGAAGGGCATTTCCACTTGGAGTGACATTTGGTGTGACTGTCCCCTAAAGGTCCCAGAACCCAGGCAACAGTGCCTATAATTATCACCGCAGCAAAACAAAGAGCAGTCTGGCTGTGCTCAGGGCTTCCTCCCACTCTCTCTCCTCTCGAGGCGGGGAGACTGTGCGACTGAGAAGGGCGCGGCAGGAATGGGGTGGGTTCTGTGACCACACTCTGGAAAGGCGAGGTCCCTCTCCACTTCCAGAGGCGGCTCCCCCCTGAACCCCATCCCACAGTCACCTGCGGGATAGGACCTTAGACCAGGTCAGGTGACTCTGGGCAGATCAGCCTCACACCCCAGCCTCTGAATAGCTGGACTCCTGGGACCGCCAGCCTCGGGAGGGAGCGTGTGGGGTCAGGGGACCCGTCGCACACCCCACGCGAGGGACCCCACCCCAACTGTGCACTCCTGAGTCCGCCAGCCTCGGGAGGGAGCGTGTGGGGTCAGGGGACCCCTGTCTCACACCCCACCCCAGGGACCCCACCCCGACTGTGGACTCCTGAGTCCGCCAGCCTGGGAGGGAGCGTGTGGGGTCAGGGGACCCCTGTCTCACACCCCACCCCAGGGACCCCACCCCGACTGTGGCCTCCTGAGTCCGCCAGCCTGGGAGGGAGCGTGTGGGGTCAGGAGATCCCTGTCTCACATCCCGCCCGAGGGACCCCACCCCCGACTCTGGACTCTGGGACCGCCAGCTCCCGCGGCCGGAGGCGCCCTCCGCCAGCACTGTCGCCGCCGCGTCCCAGCCACCTGTCACCCCTACCTCCGACACGGGCCCCGGCCGGCCCTCCAGCCTCACAGGCCCAATCCGGCCCGCGCCGGCCTCGCGGCGGCGGCGGCAACAGCAGCTCCCCCGGGAGGCTGTCCGGCGCCAGGCCTCGCGCAGTCATTCGCTCCCGCACGGCAGCGGCTCCCGCGCGGGCTCCGACTTTCTCCACGGCGACTTTCTCCACGGCGCCCCCCGCGCCCCCCGCGCCCCCGCCCCCGCCCCGGGTCTGGGCCCCACCGGAAGTGGGCGTGTCCTCCCGCCGCAGCGGCCTCTGGGGAGGGTAGTCCAGACCCCGCCGGGCGACTGCTGGGCTCGGTTCGCCGATCCGGCTTGGAAGCCTGTTGCGGAGAAATGACACAAAGACAAGACACACAAAAGACAAAGACACAACTCCGGCCGGAGGGAGAAAACTCCGCCAGCCCCCTTGCGGTTTATTTTTATACCTCGGTAGCTGGATACATACTGAAATCTACGAAATGCATTCTTATACCAAATAAGGACAAAGAGCCAAGCACATTCCAAGGA